CCTTAACAGCAACCCAGTTTATGGAGTCCTAAGGTCTACATCCAAAACCAAGCTGGCTTTGAAACGGGGGACCTGTTTCGCTGTTTGTTCAGGTGCTTTTGTTTGGTCGTCGCTTTGTTGTTCCAAGTCAAGTGCTGACAGTGTGTCCGTTTAACAAAAGGATGCTGTTGGATTGCGGGTGGGATCATTCGTGCCCAAGGCCATGCAGGAGAAGACAGAGAGTTCAGTGCAACGCTCTACGTTGGCGAGGAGAAGCCTGATGTCAGTGCTGCCAACTTTCAAATATCACGCCAGGAATCAGAGGAAATCAAGACTGTTGTTGCTTTCTTCGTCTGTTAGGAGCAGTGGCAGCCGTTCACGGACCTACTGGAGGGCACCTATCGAGCACGAAGTAGCCAAGACAGGCGTCTCGCCTGATGCGTTGTTCCAAGCAACCAACCGTAGGTGTGAAAAGGACCACTTGGAGGTTCAGGGTAAATATAGCCCAAATACATTTACACCACGGGACTTAGGGGGCATGTAGTTGTGGCATAAGTATAGCTATTATTGGGTTGTGATTGCTCTGAACCTCGCAGCATCCTGGCTATGGCAACCTTGTGCTGCAGGCCATGTCCCAGCGGTACGTGCGCCAAGACGCAGGGCGGATGCCGGTGCGTGCAGGCGGATGGAGAGCCAGGCCAGGCGTAGAAGCCTGCGAGCCGCCACAGCAAACCTATGCTTGATGCCTGCAAATAAGCTCAGAAGACAAAAGTGGCAAGATAACATGAAACAGGCACTTGTTTCCTGTTGCTGCGTAGCCATTGAACACCAACAGCTCTGGTAAGTTTTTGCTTCTCTAGTCTCGCAGCAAGTGTCCCTGAAAAGTGTGATTGATGCGGGCCCTGTAAAGCCACGCGCATCCCCACTCAGACAGGTTTTGCAACAATTAGGGGTCCCAGTCTAGGAGTCCCTACAAGAAGGATGATGGTATTTGAGCTATAGTCGAAACTCTTAGTATCCCCCTTGATAAGCCTCATAATTATGATACCAACTCTATATAGTCCCCTGTAGAACCCCCTAAACCCTAAACCAAAGCCATATCTAATCCCCTATATAACCCCCTAAACCCTAGACCTTGTATAGTCACCTATATAACCCCCTTGAAGGCGTTTAGACTACAGCTCATTTGGGGATACCCTGACCACGTGGTTCCAGGCCTGCCTGCTGGGTATGTGGTCCGCCGCGTGCTTCGCATGGAGAAATCCAGGACAAGGGAACCTAACACCCTCCCCTAACATTAAACCCCCTCCCCCTAATACTAAATACTCCCCTATATGAAAAAATGGGAACATTTATTAGGCGGGGGGTGGGGTGGGTTTAATATCAGGAGGAGAGGATTAATGCTTTGCAATGGCCTGCAAAGCACATGCGCTTGATTTATCCATGTCAACAGTCCTTGAAAGTCCTCAGGTTCAGTCCTGATCCTATCTCACTTCCGCAAGAGCACCATATGGTGGGGGAATTCGGGTTGTTGCCAACCATCCCTTCACGGCCTCTACTTAGTCTGCTTTATGCTTCACTGTAGGACTTGGCAGAAGTACGCTGCGAAGAGGGCGCAGCTGCGTAGCCGACAACAGGTCGGCGCCCTTGCAATCTGTAAGCATCAAGTACTTCAGGGAAAAGTCTCACATGGGAGAGCAGGACATGCTTTCTGGAAGACCCATAACCCCTATATGTTCCCTATAACACCATAAACATCCAATTTGAATAGGGCCCCTAAGTCAATCCTAAACCGCAGACCTTGGATAGCAGTCTCGCTTTTCCTACCAATTATTCCTATATACCTACACTTTATAAGGCCCCCTAAATTTATCTCAGTACATGCATGCATACATACATACATACATGGTGGGTCAGGGGGACTTAGCAAGTAGGTTAGCAACGGTCATAATTAGGGTTACTATATAGGTTTTAGGGGTTATCAACCTACTACTAAGTCCCCCTGACCCTCCAAGTAACCCAGCAAAAGCAGTATCCAAACCTGCACGCAGGGCCTGGAGAGGTTGGAGCCGGTAGCTCGCACAGAAGGCCGTGAAGACTGATTTAAACGGTTTGGGACATAAGGTTGAGGGTTTAGGTTTAGGGTCTAGGGTTTAGGGGTTGAGGGTTTTTAAGGTTTAAGGTTTAGGAGGTAGATTACCGGCTTCTGTTGATGCCAAGAATCCTGCATGACCTGGGTGAACCACAATGTGATGTTTTCCATGGCATAGGGTACTCAGGGTACTTAAGATACTTAGGGTACTTTGGGTACTTAAGACTTAAGGCCTAAACCCTAAACCTAAAACTCCCCTAGGTACTTAGGGTACTTAGGGTACTTAAGGTTTCTTAGCATCCTCGGTTGCTAGGCTTGCATCAGGGAAACCTCCATATGACGACCTGAGAGAAGCAGTCTTATTTGGCTATCTCTACATAATTCTATTTTCTTAAAGAAGCCTGCAGCATCCTGCAAATTTCTCGCCCCGGGGCAATTGTTGCAGGACTAGTGGAGCAGCACCCGGAGCTTTTTGCACCTCTGGAAACGGATGTTAATGAAGTCTACCTTTGGCATGGCATCTTGGTCATTGCATGGATGGCGTAGGGGATTTCATTGCAGAGGGTTATGGTTTGGGATTGCAGAGGGTTTTTCAGGTCTCCGGGTCTATGATGTCGGTCTGTAGGGTGCAGAGTGATTCGAATTCTGTTGTCCTTTGTTTGGTTTGGAGAAGCCACGAACCCATCTAAAGAAGTGTTTCTGAGGAGGCAGCATGCGTTGCGGACCATCCGTTTGTTGCACTCTGGAAAACACCATTGTTGATGGTAGCTTTCATTTCTTGACCGTGAAGCACAGCAATTCCGAGGCACCCACATCCGGTCCGCTTTCGCCATCGCGCATGAAGATTTCAAGATGGGCATGGCTGGATCCAATGGGACAATGTATGGGAAGGGCATCTACTTCGCTGAGAACAGACGCTTGACTGCACGTCCTTGGTCTGGCACGATCTTTGATGTTCTGCTCGCCTCAGCTAAAATAAGCCCTCCAGCCCCGAGAGGGGTATCAGCAGCTCGCGCAAGAGGCGGTGCTTGGATCCCATCAGCATTTTCATTACAGCAGTGCCAGTAGAAATCTAAACGCCGGCGGAAGCGAAAACATCCTTTACTGCAATGTCGCCCACAGAGCAACAAGGTGTCTTTTTGTCCGCAGTTCATCGACCGGTAAGCAAAGCATCCCCAACCCTTGCAGTTTGAATCATGAACCTCTTGGAGCTCGATTGTTGTTAGGGTTTCCTGGTTCCTTCGCTCTTCTCGGCTGTTCTTCGGGATCTTGTTCCGCCGTTGGCTGATACATACTTACAGTGAAAGTTAGATACCCAAAGCTGAGGGAACCTGAAGTACAACCAAGCCTGGCCATGTTCCTGCTACTAGAATGTTCTTGCTTGCTTTTGGCTTAAGGCACAAAGGCGGACGAGTATGCGCGGGATGAGCCCCACGGCAACTCAACTGAACGAAAAGCAACAGCAGTGGTGGCGCCGTCGTAGTGGCAAAGGGAAACTAGCAGAAGGCAGGGAACACGGCTTGTACAGCATTTTGCTTCGGAATCACTGGAAAAGGGGGTTCATGCGCTAACTGTTGCTCCGTCTGTTGACCTGATTCTCGAAGCGCAGTGGTGGTACTATGACTTTAGATCTTTTTCATTTGGGACTTTCTCAAAATTGCCCCAATTCAATTCTGATCTGCGTAGTCCCTTAGCAATCCCAACATGTACCTACAAGAGGGCCGCCAAGGACCACCCCCCTTTTGAGCCATAGTCTAAACTCGTTAATGGGGTTATGTGGGATCATACGGGGGATGCTAGGGGTTTAGGCGAAAGCTCATTAGAAACCTCCATCTCTGAGGATTCTACCAGGATGTTTTTGCCCTGCTTCTCTGCCGCGTCTGCCTGGGAAAGTTCCTCTATTCTGAGGAGCGCCTTGACACTGCAGGCCTGCCACAAGAGTCCGAGTGAGCTATAGTCTAAGCTCCTTGAAGGGGGTATATGGGGATTATATAGGGCAGTATTATAGGGATACTAGGAGTATAGACTATAGCTCACACAGAGATTTCCTGCCATCCTTCTCATGCGAGACTTATTCGGCCAACATGGTGTAGCTCTGAAGGTGACATGGCGGAAGCGGGGACCATTGACAGTACAGTGGGTGACAGGACTGCTAGGCTTAAGTGGTACGTGGACTGATTGGTGAACCCCATTGTGGCCTTGGGTGTAGGGGTTTAGGGGTTGTGGCAAGGGTTGGGGGTTTCAATCCTTGTTTCTCTTCCGGCCTCACCTGATTTGGGGTATTGCCATCCTGGAGGTTGGGCAACTGTACAGGTTCTGAAGGGGCAGCGTATGGTATGTGTCCCTCGCACCTTTTTTTGATCGGCAAGGATAACAACTCATCATCTTGGCATCACCAGGCACCCCAGTTTCCGGTTTTCTACGGAAGCTACCTGGAATTGTGAATCAGACAGCTATGCGTAGCAGGACCCGCACAGCCAACACCTTCCGCGAGTTTGCCGCCTACCACCCCGACCAGGCAGCTTGGCCGACATCACTCTTTTGGATCTTCGGTTTGCAAGTTCAAAGTCATCTAGCGCCTATACGCGCACCTGGCTGTAGCTGTGCTGCTGTTCAGATCTTGGTCTGCTCCTTCTTGCTCTGGCTTAAAGGGCTTGGTATGGTTTGCGATTGGAAGTGCCCGATTTCCGTAGGATAAAACCACCCCTGGCGTATTGAACGCCTGGAGCCCCTAGCCTTACACCTTCAACCCCACACCTCCAAAATCCCAAAAACCAACCGCCCAAACTTGAAGAACATTTTATGCTTGTCTGTCTGTTATCATTGACTCCTTGTCATAGCTATAAGAGTAACACGTATAATATATCCCCTGTATAACCCCAATATATCCGAGCTCCGGAGCCTGCGAAGGTTTACCCGGAGTACGTCGTCCTCTACTCTCGGCGCCCGAAGGCCAGGTGGCTTGGGATAGGGACTGTTTAGGGTTTAGGGGTTTAGGGTTGGGGTTTCGGGTTTAGGGCTTAGGGTTCTACTCGTACAAAGGTGGGGCTAGGGGGTACGGGGGTAGGTGATAGGGTGTTGGTAGGGGTATTTTTGTTTTGGGGTTGTAGGTGTTTTGGACAGGGTCACCATAGTTGCCGGTTGCTAGTTGGTGGAATAGAGAGAGGAAACCTCATATTGTCAGCGATTATACTGTGGGGGCTTCCAGGGACCCGTTTCTCCATTCCTTGCTAACAAAAGTCTGCCGCAGGGTTGTCGCAGGGTTTGGTCTGGGAGGACCCTGCACCCTGTAATGGTGATATAATCGGAGTATAAAAGGACCCTAATATAGTCCTTATAATCCTTTATAGTCGCTATTACAGGCTGGGGGAGGTATGTTGGGTAATGAGCCTAACCGGGAGGGTACGATTGCCACAGTGCTTCTATGCCACCTGTACCGCCCAACATGGGAACATACCTTGAACATTGTCAAACTTATGGCTGCTTTTTGATCAGTCTGAATTGTAGCTTCCCTACATGGACTCCAGAATGTGGCAATCCTTACTATAGGGACCCCCGCAAAGGTATCCCTAATTTTGGGAACCGCCTCACATTTCGCTGAATCCCCAAACGTCTAAACCGCGTTTTGAGACACCAAAAAGAAACCATACTTTTTTGTAGACCCTTCGCCTGGTTTCTTTTTTGGTTGCCAGCAGGCAAGGATCCTGATATCTCGGAGGAATGTATCGTACCCGTTTCGTTGGACTGTTAAGGTTTAGGATTGTTGAGGGCTTAGGGTTTAGGGTTTCGGAAGGAACTTCCCATGCACATGATTTTCCGCTAGAGTGCCCCCTATGACGAGGCTGTTGCTCCAGAACCCTTCAAGTTCAGCCTTGCGCCGCTGCATGCGCAGCTGCCAAGCTGACTGCGAGTTTAGGGGTTCAGAGATTAGGGTTTAGGGATTAGGGTTTAGGGTTCAGAGATTAGGATATGGGAGCCCAAAGGACTGTTGCGAGGCATGATTTGTCATCAGAAGGCTTTAGGCGTCTCGGGATGTCTGAAGTGTGTTGTCAGAAGCACTTGCGGATGATCTGTCAGGAAAGGCTCTGTTCAGCTTGATTCGAGCCACAGCCACAAAATTGACTGGGTTGCTGCTAAGGAACTTAGATTCAGTTACTACATTCCGGAAGCCCGATTATTTACTATATACCCGTACTATCTTAAATTGTTTAAGGTCCTTAGCAGCAACCCAGCTGAGCTGTGGAATATCCAGCGTGACTTCACAGCAAAGGAGAGTCTCTTGCAAACCAGCCGACACACAAGATCCATTCAGTATCAGAACAAAGGGTCCTGCCGCCTCACTCAAACTCCTACAGACTTAGGGTTTAGGGTTTAGGGTGGGTTTAGGGTTGTGAATATAATCCCTTCATAATCTCTATACCATATATTCCCATATTCCCAACGAACCCCAAGTAAGCAGAAAGCTCCCAACAGCTGGAAATCCGCTAGCGCTATCCTAGGCTGCCCATTTACTGGCAGCACTTCCATGTGAACCCACAGGTTGACTCCTTTGAGGCCCGTTTTCAGCTGGGTAGTTTCTCCAAGGGTGCGCGTCGCACCGGATCGGGGATCGCACAGGGGAATATATATATTCGTATATACATCTATATACAATATAAATGGATTTTATACGGATTGTATAGGGATTATATAGGGATTGTATGGTGTTATGGGGTCCAGTAACGAAGAATTAAATGGAAAAGAAAATGGAATCTGAAATGGACAGGCGCTTAGCCTGCTTTGTCGTGTGCCCCTCCGCAGCTTTGCGCGCCGTGGAGTTGCTGTTTGTGACCGTCCATACAGCCAGTGTGTCATTCGAGGAAGACGGAATGAAGAATGAAAGATAATAGCAATGAAAATATCTGGCTTAAAGATAGTTATACTCGTGATAGTAACAATCGTACTAGTAACAGCAGAAAATGCCTTGCATGAGAGGGTCGCAGAAAGCAGACTTTTCTGCAGAAGTTCAACGAAACAACCCGAAGGACTGGAGCGTGTTCACAGATTACAACTTTGCAAGGGCCCCGCAAGATTCCTGATTCTCCGTAGTATATAGATCTCAGATTCTGCATGAGAGTGCTTGGCATCTCACATTTGGGGTCCTTTCACAAAGCCACATGGTTCCTTATCCATATTTGAGCGCAGACAAAGGACCACAGATCACACTGCCAGAAAGGAAAGAAGAAGATTCTAACAAAGACACCTTGCCACACTCCGGAAGACTTCCCATACAGGTGCAACATGGTAGTTTTCATGAATAGGGGGACCCAATATAGATCCCAGGATACCTGAACTCTTATTCGGGTGACCCCCCAAAAGCGCCGCTAATTCTGGGAAACCGTAAAACGGATATATTTATATATATATATATGTATAAGCCCCACTTTCCATTTCCTTTTCTATTTGTTTCTCCATGATTGGGGTAATATAGCCCTGGCCCTATATATGCCTATAGAAGCCCTGCATAGCCCCTATACTCCTTGCATCTCCCTATATCCCATCGGTGGACGGAGGAAATCTTGCACCATTTAGGTTCCACAAAATACCATGAGTATTGCGTTATAAGCTATATTTTAGGTGGTGCAAGATTTCCTCCATCCACGGTGTGTATCCCATAACAGGTGCAGTATGGAGTGCGCCATGCCTCTCGCGCTCTTTTGGAACAGTTGGCGCAGGCGTGCTACCCAGGCCGGGTTGGAGATCCGGAATATGTGGGTACAGCCACGCAGTTTAGGGTTTAGGGGTTATGTAGGGTTTTACAGGGGTTATATAGGGATCAGGGATATAACGGAAAAGAAAACGGAAACTACTATTAAGGGTTTAGGGTTTAGGGGTAATGGAAAAGAAAAGGGAAACTACCATAGTATAATGAGGGTCTATATTTGGTTTAGGTAGGGTGTTTATAGGGATATGCTACCCTAATATTGGAAGACCAAATGGGAAAGAACGTGGAACATGAAATGGAAACGATCAGTGCGTGGAAGATTTTCATGGTCTGAAATCGCGTTGTCATCAGCCCATGAACAGATGTTGCATTGCACGTGCAATCGGGTTGTCATGCTGTACGAGATGGCGGGATCATGTAGACCTGGTCAATTGTAGCCGAGTGCCTGTAGCAGGTTTCTGCATGGCTAAAAGCCACCACATGAGTTTTATTTCGGATGCGTTCTGGAAACCATCGCAGCTGCACACAGGCTGTAGGATTCCATGGCCTTGACACACTCGTGTTATTCTTTAAGGCCGCGCGCACGCAAGACGTAGAAGCTTCTAGCAGGTTTGAGAGTTTTTTGCAACGCGTTTAGAGAGTAGTGCAGCGCGTTATCCTGCCATTTTCACAAGGCTTCCCTTACAGCACTGGGTAGTTCTGCAGTGAGTGCACGGCTACCCAGGTGGGCGTGGAACGATCCAGGCAGGACTAAGAGATGATGGCAGGGTAATGTTGCACTCACCTGTGCCAAGATTAGGGTTTAGGGTTTAGGATTTAGGGTTTAGGGTTTAGGGTCTTTAATGAGTTTCGGGCTGCCGCTTCAAGATTTCCGGCCTACTGTTCACGACTCTCTTTAATTTGTTTTGGTTTGGGCCCCTAACCGAATCCAGACCATCCCCTTTTAAAGTAATTCCCAAGGCCTTCCCAGCGTCCTCAATACCATGGGAGCCTTATTGATGATTTTCTGGAGGCCCTATTGTCAGGGAGGGGGAACTATACATTATAAAGAGTACAACATTATTGTCATGATTGTAGACAGAGTGGGCTTAGGGTTCCTTGTTGATGCGTTCTCTACGAAGACCCCATGTCCTCTCAAGCAGGAGAACTATGGCTCATGTTTTATGGCAGAAGGGGCTTGCGAGGCTTGAGCACTTCTGGATTGGTGATTATCGGTGCTTTCGAATTTATGTTTGCTTCGAATTTATGCCTGTAGAATGTATTCTGGGCAGAGTTGTCCTATTCCTAGTCTGGTATGTGCTCGCAGATTTGTTTCTGTGTGAGCTCTGCAGAAAGTGATGAGACCAAACATAATGGCCTGCTTTAGTCAGGCTGCGTCAGCCTTACCGGTCCTGCCAATATCAAAGAGATACGGAAACAGTTCCCCAATTCACTTTCCCAAAATAGGGGGACCCCAATATAGAACACCAAAATATTATAATCCTTAGTATTGGGACCCCCAAAATGGTACCCCTAATTTAGGGTAATCAGGTTGAACTCCTGCAAGCTTGAACTCTTGCAAGCTTCATGTCGTTTGCCTCTCTTCATCGCGGCGCAAATCAGCAGCATCCGCATCAGCAGCATGCACCAAACCAGCGTTGGCCTTTGGAACTCTATGGGTCCGGTGAGCCTTGAACCATCTTGAACCCTTGATCTGCAAAACTGGCATGTGCGGTATGTTGGGTCATTGTGCTCACTGAGTTTTCAGCACGTCCACCGCTTGATCTCTCCCAAGTGCGTAAAGAGACCTGCTGGTTTTGCTCCCAGATGGAAGCATTGACGCTTCAATGACCAAAGCCGGAACCACAAGCTGAGATTATCTGGTTGCAGGGTTTAGGGTTTTAGGGTTTTAGGGTTTAGGGTTCAGGCTCATGGATGGCTTTCCGTTTACTCCTCCGCAGAGTTGGGTTCTATTCGTTCATCAGCTGCCTCAAGCAGCCAGGACAAAGCCCCAAGCATCTGATGCCTTCCAATATTCCCAGTTATCCTTATTAATCACCAATAGCTGGTTAGATGCAGGTCATTTCAGCTCGCAGAATTGAGATGTCCAGCCTGTGGAACCGGTATGTCCAGTTCAAGAAGAGGCCGGGCCACGGAGCCACAACAGCGCACAGGCTCCCAGTTGTCTTCCCAAAGCATTGCCCCAGATGGCAGGACATGCAGTTGTAGGTGCACCTTGCCTTGAAATAGTCAGTTTCCTTGGCATTATCGGTTATTGTATTGACAGCCCTCCCGGCATAAGCTTCAGTGCAATGTCGCTTCACCATACCTTCACAAGTACTCTAAACAGCAATTGGTTGAAGCTGGGGTTGTGTTGCTCCGGCGAAGGCTGCGGGACGAGTTAGATGCCTCTGGAAGATCTGCCTTTGCATCTCCCGAACTCCTGGAGAGCCGTGGGTTGCATGGCGCATTTCCATATATGTGTGTCTGTGTGTGTGTGTGTGTGCGAGCAGGGATCATCATGCACGCGCTTGGCCAGACCCGCAAAGCGTGTAGTGCTGTCCAAAATCATCCTTCTTATCAAAGTGCAGAGGTCAGGCAATCCCAGAATGCTCACTTTGTACCTCCCCCCATAGATTACAGCTCAAGGACGTTGAGACCTAAACCCTAAACTATCTCCCTTGAATGAAGCGCAGGAAGGTCAAGCCCAAGGCGGTGCTCCTGGGCGTCCAATGGATTATCATTCGGGGGCTTCCAAAAATTCAGGATTCCCTTTGCTGGGAATCTCTTTCATGAGGATTTCAGTATGTAGGTATCGTATACACATGAAGTAGACCCTTACTTGTGGAAAGTACCCACTCTGTCCTGAGCAAAAGACCCTGACCTAAGTTCAGTACTCTGGGCTTCATGGACTGGGCCCTATACCCACTTAGGTGTTATATGGGGATTGTATGGCAGTTGGATAGGGATCATGAGTAGTATTCGGGGGTACACCGTGAGGGTCAGGATGGGTGAAACGGGCACTGTGGCTCTGTATTCTGTACTGTTCGAGCATCTGCGGACTGATGACGTTTGTTTTGAAGATAACCAGTCATCATGGGTTCCCCTACTACTATTCAGGGGGAACCTAGGGGGGGGTAGTATAGAGGGGGCAGTAGGGGAACCCATGAAGTCAAGATAGCGGACCTGTCAAGAAACATGCCGCTCAATGAAGTCTTTCGGCAGCTCATCTGGTCTGACTCTGTCTTGCCATCGAAGCCATGTCATGGTAAACGGGCGGTCTGCTTCCGGGAGGGCATGAGAGATCCAACCTGTGAAAGGAGGACATTGCCATGGTAGAAACCTATTTTTGTTGGTCGGAAGTTTTGGTCCTGGGGTATGCTGGGCAGAGGCCTTTTGGACCCTTAGCTTTGAAGCAGGAAGGCCCAGTAGGGAAGAACCTCTGGAAGGCTTCAAGTACTCAATTTGTACAAAGGGGCAATAGCTCGGATTCGTTGAAGCATGGTAGCATTGAGTTCAAGATCGAACCTTTTCAAAAAGCTCCTTTCAGCAGAAAGTGTAGGGTTCTATTTTACCGAGAATGCACCCATGAGCTTCATCGTTGTCAACGTGCACAAAGAAGTACCAGAGGTGGCGTTTGCCGTTTCATGGTGTTCCTCCAGAGGCTCCCATACCCTGTACTTGTGCACGAAATGCTGACTCGCGTCCATAGAGAACAAAAGACTTGTCAATTGACTAGGCTTTATACGAACAAACGCTCCAGTCCTGTGCACGGATGATAGCAGCAAGCTCGACGGGAACAAGAATCTCCTTCATTCCTTGAATCCTTACTTGACGTGTAGGTTGAGGGTAGTTCCGAGCCATCGTGTGCTTCTTTACATATTTCAAGGACATACATTCCCTGTGGTGAAGGCCACCCCTAATCCTGCAACCCAGCCAGAAAAACCAGCAGAGGAGATTCTGACACATCGCTTTTTGAAAAGCATGGCGTCACAAGGAGGGCCAGTGCTGGGCCTATAGCCATGGGTCCTTGGTTCGGAGTTGTTTGCAGACTTACGCTGAAGTTTATCTTGGTTCAAAGGGGACATATACTACACATCATGGACGATTTTAGGATTCTGGGTGTGCTTGTCCGGGGATTCTTGCTACCACAGGGTTGCTTTGGGTTTGGCGCCTGAAGGAAACCTGAATTGGCACCCTCAGGTATGGGGCTTTTTTTTTTTTTAATGAATTACTTGCAGGTTCATTACTCAAGCATGTCTAAGTATGCTGATCAGCGATCTCCGGGTGATGGCCGTTGATATTGCCATTCCAGTGATGGTCACGGGCGTTTTCAAAGCTTGTTCCTTTTGCAGCCGCTCTCCTTGCTGTTGAAATGCTCATCTCGAAATCGTGAGCAAGCATTCGCTGTGTTTCTTTCTTGAGTAAGGCTGTTCTTCGTTTGACCATTGCGGGTGCGATCTTTCATGTGTTGGTCATCCCGTCGATGCTGGCAGTGGTGGTTGCTGTCCGAGCGTAGCTGGGCGCTGCAGCAGCACTCGCAGAGCCCACACATTGCCTGCAGGCGTGGTGCAGACAACGATCTCCGCAGACTCTTTGGAGGGAGACCTCCAGGCTCTTTTGCGAATGTATCTACTGAAGCAGTAGCATTTGGGGCATGCGATGTGGTTGCCGGTTGTGCTGAAGACGTAAGACTGAGATCCTGATACCAACATGCTACACAGACGGGAAACCCTACACGTCCATATGATTGATAGGCGGCTGGGCCGTGATGGCTGTTGAAACTATGAGTTTGGAGCAGCCTGAGAGGAGCACCTCCTTTGGCACGGCACCTCTCGCAAGTCCGCAGAAGCCATTGTCAGAGCTGACTTCCGCGTACCCAAGGAGCAGCGAGAATGGAGAGTGTTTTTGTCTGCAGCAAAATCATTGTGTGCTGGGGCAAGGGGCAGGGTTTCGGGAACGGCACGAAGCGCACCAAATCCAAGCCTGCAATCATCCAGTGTGTTCCTGAGGACGTCAAGAACGGCGTGCGGTTTGGCTGCGGGTTGTATTTTGCTGAAGATGTGGGCAAGAGTTTGACTTATGCTTCTTGGATGACAGTTGCAGCATGAAGCAGAACTCGGTTTCTATGCTTGCTGTTTCAATTTAGCTTGCTGTATCACGACCTGGAGTGGCTGTCGGAATAGAAGCTTACACAAGGGCAGTAGTGCGATCTTCCTTTTGTACTCTGATAAGGGTTGCCTGAGTCTGGAGTAAAGTCGCCTTACGGGTGCTTTGCCCGCAAATGCGTGACTTTTGAGTTGGGCGTGCCAATCATTCGGGTGGAAAAGCGGAAGTAGAGGTACAAAAAGCACGTTCTGTCGAAGGACGGTAGAGGGCTGACCAAGGCAGATGCAGGGTTTAGCAGGGCATGGGGACATGAGTCGGGTGCAGTCGCACAGTGTACTCCTGCCGATTGTACTTGCTAACCACCTTCAACAATCTTGCGCCGGCATGGTGCCAAGACTTGGTTTAGCTTGGGGGCAGGGTCTGAATTTATGGTGCATCCGCGATGCAAACCATGTTTGAGAACGCGGGTTCTTGGTGAAGGGCTTCAACATCCGAATGTTCATGTCTTGCAATTCATAGCAAATCATGGCCTGGCTTTTTCGTCGGAAGTATGTCATAGACCGCATGGCCATGGACAATGGCAACAATTTGCATGCATTTGGTGTGACTTCCCGAGTGGGGTTGACATCTTGCCGCTTGGCGTGTACCTGCAGTGGGTTGGTTTCACGCGACGAGCTGTCTTAGGCAGTCCCCTGGCATGTGAAGATGTTTGCTACACGTGTACAAGAGGAACTACAAGAGGATCATAATTTTGAGGTCCCTGCCTCTCTGCAAGGCGCCTGTCAACACCTCCAGTGATGGACGGACGAACTCGCAGTTTCTGCATCTCTTCCGCAAACGGACTCAGGCAGCATGCGGATGTTTTGAAATTCAAGGCTGCCTGCGGGGTCCGTTGCATACGTCTTCAAAGAACCTCACGGTTGCGCAGGGATGCCGCGAGAACATGGTCAACTCTGGGGGTCCGGAAGCACAAGAAGTTTGGAGTTAAAGCCATGTAAGACTGCTGTCTAACTTCAGGACTTCAAACATATGCGCCTACACGGCTTCTGGACAGGGCTGCCAATCACCTAACTCAAGCACCGCCCTTGCCAAGGCTACCTAGGTTCCCTAACCTGCAAGAGCACAAAGCTGCCGTACCTGCATGTTCTTCAGAAGGGCACCGCTCGTTGATAGTCCAGGCCCTTGATCAGGTTATGAATTGCAAAGTGAGAGTAAGCAGGAAGTCTCCCTCGATGCCAACAAATAGGTCGGCTTTCCTTCATTACCCTCAGATTCGGGCTCCGAGTCCAGCCCAATCTAGTTGAGTACGACCACCATTTGCACGTAGGGCTACCTAAACGAAAAGCCTTAATCTCTAAAACCTAAACAGACAAGGCTGCTTTGTCGCGTTCTTTGCGGACAGATGCATTACACGAGCGAGAGATACGACCTGGATGCTGTGACTTCGGCTCACAAGGCGAGAGTCGCCAAACATGAAGGTTTTTATGTGGTGCAGTAAGGCAGTAACGGGAAGATCCTTGCCGTCTCCATGGGAGCCATGACTCCAGCTGTTACCTCAAGAGATATGATACAAAGGATATGGCTTGCCCTCGTATTCAGGGCGGGGGGACCTGCATCTTCCATTCCTGTGGTTAGCCTGATCTCAGAACTGAGCTTCCAATTTTGAATCCAAACTGCCAGGTGGAGCGTTCACAAAGGTAGCAAAGAAGAGGTAGTTTCCCCGCGTAGAGGGGCTCAAATCCCTAAACGCTATGAGCCTTATCATATCCGCAAAACCCCAAAACAGGAAGAAGATTTTGGCAAACGCCAAACATCTCTAGACTCTAGTCTTTTCAAAGAACATATAGGTCCTTCTCCTCCAGCGGCTGGGGCATCTCGCCTGGCTGCTGGTTAATTACAAGAGAAAAGAAGTGTTAGTAGAAGTTACCGCAATTGTGGCGACATTCAGAACGTCTCTATTCCTTCAATTCCTAGACCCCAATTCCCAAATCCACATCCTCTTGCCACTTGTAGCAGGTGGGCAAGCATTCAGTCCTCGCGAATCCTTTGCGAGAAGGGCCGCGCGAGGTCATCATCTGGCATGCGATGCAGGCAAGCTGTTACTACTCTTCGATGGAAACGCTCTTGATCAGAAACCTTGGTAGATTTCAAAGCATATCTAGACCCCAATCTAATATAATCCTCATTGGGACCCCCCCAAGACAAGGGACGCCTAATTTTCGGAAGGCTCCACGTACATCCCAGTTCTAGAGGGTAAGGCCTGCAGGATTTAGTGTTTCACAGCGGTGGGCCTGTTCCAAACCAGATGCGTTTTTTGGGTCCCTCCACCGCTTGATGCAGTTTAGGGTTTAGGGTTTAGGGTATCCAGAGTAAGTACGAGGACTATTAAGGCCCTGCGGTGGTATCTACTTATGCGGTTCATAGCTAGGTGTGAGGGAAGGGCCTTTGTACACAAAAGCCGTCTTGCAGAAGTAGGACGCAGAGAAGAGAAGTCTGCAATTTTTGAAATAACAACGTGACACGTCACTTCATGGGGCAGGGAGGGCCAGAAAGCGCATGAAGTCTGAACGCGGCACTGGACCCCATGGTGTGAAAAGACGTCTTCATGTGGGAAACCCTGGGCCAAGCGGAGGTCTATCCGGAGTACATCCTGGAGGTTGCTGTGGACGATGGTGGGGATCCATGAACCGGTTGTTAGGAGGGGTGCGCCCTCCCGCAACGAACATATGGCTGACATCAAGGCAGATTCTTGAGAAGTGAGTGGCCTGCTTGCTGTTGTCAGAGTGCAGGGTAACATAGAGCATTGTACAGGCTGATTCCAGCAAACGTAGGGGCGCAGGCCGAAATGTTGTCAAGGGTGTTACTAGTGTTCGGTATGAGGCCTCTCGTGCCCCTGCGTCTCTTTAGTTAGCATTGTGTCACGGGCCTAGCGGAGCTTCCCGTGGTACCACTGCTTGCCCCGGCAAGCAGTCTTGTTTTATCCTCGCCAGCACTTGCTTCCAAAGGAGCCTGCTTTGTTGGTGAGGCTCTGGGTAGCCCCCTGGGATATTTAATTTTTTCCCTAATTGCTTTCATAAGGGACCCTATATACTAATATTTTTCAAATGTGTTTAGGGGCAAACCCAGGGCTAAAGGGATGGCAAAACATCTCCAATCCGGGACGGCACCTCTTCCACTTATGCCGCCCATGGTCCAAGCAGCCAAGGGCAGCGCGAGTCTCGCGGCGTGCGCGGCTACACGGGTATTTCTCTAGATCAGTTTATCCTCATTTCCCATCCCAGAGATGAGAGGCAATTATATAGGGATGATGGAAAAATGGAAACTACTGTAGTATGGTAGGGTATTTTGATGAGGGTTATAGTAGGGAATATGGGAACAGAGGCAATTTTGGGAGAAACTCCCACCTTCCTGAGGTCGAGCGTTTGACCCTCAAATTGGCAGTGGAGGTCACAGTGCCTTCGTTGCCATACACCTTTTTTCATGGCTGGGGTGCTAGGTGCAGGGATCCACCAAAGCTGCGACTAAGCTCCCAAGCTTGCAAGCTTGGAGGGAGACCCTGGCGCACTGGTACCTGCAGTCTGATTTGCTTCGGGTTTGGTGATTGAAGGCACAAACCCTAAAACCTAAATTGTAGTTTCCATTTTATTTTCCATTATCCCACTTATAACCCCAAAATTCAGCCTTGGAAGGCCAAGCCTACAAGCAATGGTTGGCCTACATGTACTACCTTCAAGGAGGTTATATAGGGGACTGTATAGGGGACTACTATACAGGTTATTACGGGGGATACTACGAGTTTAGACTATAGCTTACATGTAATACCTTTGTCCCAGAAGACCTGCCCACCAATCCTGACAGCCGTAGCTCGTTCTCAGCTTGCAGACTCCGAGAGTCCAGCAGGCTGTTAGACTGTCCGAATCCGGTAATGTAGACCCATGATTAATAAACACCCTTTTTTTCAGGGCTTAATATTAGGCTATAATGGGAAGGGGTGTATTAATCAGGGGTCTGGGTTACGCTGGATTTGGTAGACATTCCCTGGACACTTGTCTTTGTCTCTGAAGAGACTGTTTTAAAAAAGGGGCGGCGCCATCCTTCGATGCACGCAGAAGTCGCAAACTTCCTGGTGGCTAGCAACGAATGAGTGAATGGATCCTGGTGGTGGCCGCCACATACTCCGTTACAGTACTCCTGGCCGTATGGTTCATTCCTTCATACCACTCTCAGCAGCAGCACCAAGCAAAGCAAACGGCCCCTAAACCAATTTAACCTAAGCTACAAAAAGGAGGTTGCTTGAGCAACAAAACTCCATTATTTACTAGATCCCCAGATTGCAGTGCCGAAGTTGTGTGGCCCAACCCCAACGCCTCGCTGCAGATGCAGAAAGCTGGAAGAATCATAGGCGGGTAGATGGGAAGCTGGCACAAGTACATAGGGATGAGGGTTCAGGGTTTAGGTTTAATGCAAGTACTGTACATCAGTAGCAATTCTAGTGATAAGTCCTGGTCCTGAGAAGTTATACTTATGCTGATCAAGTTCACGCTGATGATACAAATGGTAGTAGTCATGCTAGTGGTGAGAGTAGTAGTCATTCATGTAGTAGTACTTGCAGCAACCGTTCATGCGCCTTGGACGCTCCACACTTATTGCTGCTGTGCTGGCTGTGCTTGGGCCTGGTTGGTCATTCGCGATGCAGACAATTGGCATGCTCACCGGAGTGCCTAGGCATATTGGTTGGGCAAGATGTCGTGAGACGAGTATTTCTTAAGGTGAAGCTCCCGCTGTAAATGTCGCAAACACAAAAACTCTTGTTGTAGGGACACTCAAGACGGGCCCGCACTTTTGTGGAACTGCTAGGTGTTGCGTCAAGTTGAAGTTTCCGCGTCCATCCACCAAAAGTGAGGTAAGTTATGTGTCTGGCATCGACTACTACAGAGGCCTGGACCCTCGCCAACTTACGATTGGGGTTCACCCAAGAACTAGCTGCCTTTTCTCTTGTGTGGGATTTTCACTCACCATTTTCTAGCTCTGCGCCTTACGGACGGGATTTGACTGTGGCTTGACCGGCTTCTAAAACAAGATCCGGTCGAGACAGTGTAGGCTGGATGGCGTGCTGGCATGCAAGTCATCTCGTTTTCAGCGTTGATTGTCCTCGCTTTTGCCGCTCCGGCTGCCACAACTGCCTGCATCATCGTTCTTCCTCTTCCTTCTTATCCTCGTCTTACGTTGGATTCCCTTGTGGCTTCCGTGTCTGTCAGGGATCAATGAACGCATCGCAAAGCTGTTGCCCAATGGCAGCATTATGGCAAAGAACTCAGAGATGGTCATCGTGTCCGTGGACTGCATCTGCCTCAGCTGATTCTATAGTGATTGTGCAGAAACTAGATGTGATCACATAGGAGTTCGGGTAGATTGGATTGGTGAATGATAGGTTTCTTGGGATTCTGCACAGACGCTAGAGCCACTACAGGGGTTACGTTGGGATCATTTATTGTTATGGAGGTTCTGAGGACTACGCTGCATTGTATGGGGATTCAGAGATTCTCATGACTCACCAGGGCTTGGCGAGGGATGCGTCGGGATTGGATATTGTCATGTGGGGGCATCACAGTCTTGGGAGCTTGTGGAGATGCCTTTATAGGCGTTACAGATGGGCGCACTCTTTTTACAAGGTCGGCCGTGAGAAGATCCTTGTACCATGTGGTGTATAGGGGGTAGCGTGTATTGAGCCATAGCCGTCAGATCTAGCACTTCCAACCCCCCCACCAGTGCGAAAACAGGTAGCTGCAGTTCATCAAATGCAGGCGTGAAGATACTTCAGATCTGACTTAGACTCGGCAGCGCAGAAGTGCATGGAAAGGCGATGAGTACGTGCGGCTGCTTACAGAAAACGACTCTGATGGTGTGCAGGACAAGGGGAGCAGAGGTTAACGATGTTTTTCAATTGGCTACGAAAAGATTCTTAGAAGGAATGGAGCTGAGGATTCTACGAGGCACCTCGGGGATTGAGTGTCTTGGAGACTTGTAGAGAGTGCCTTCGGACTGTGAAGAGTTATCGTAAGCCTGCCAGGACTACTTGGTTCGGGGCGTGGCCAAGCTGCACAGGGCAGGTGTGGATTTCCTGGTGATTGCTTCCAACACGGCGCACATTTGCGTGGGTACCTGTGCCTGCACTCCAGTTGTGGGCTGCCATTTGGTTCCGACATTTTCTGAGGTCTCCACATTTGGTGTGCCTTCTTGGGGTCCCCGCAGAGGCGATTTTTGCATTTCAGGATTGTAGCAGGGAGACTTCGGTTTGTTGGAGACGTAGGCATCTAGCTCAGTATACGGGAGCGGCAGGACCTTCAAGTGCAAAGACAGAAGCGGAGCAAGGTCTCAGCAAAGTTCAGTGCAAATCCATTTTTTGTGTGACTTTATCAATAGGGGGAGCCCAATAGAGACCCCAACATACTATGATCCTTCTTATATATAGTAAGCAACCAAAATGATAATCTCTGCGTTCACTGCCCATGTTAGCTCAAGGCCGTGTTCGTGAACGCTTTCCAGATCTCCCGGCTCCTTGGTCGAAAATGTGCTATAGACTATAGTCTAAACTCCTCAAAAAGGGGGTAAGGGGTCATTAAGGGGGATACTAGGAGTTTAAGCTATGGCTCAAATGCAGTCCTGCAGCAGGTGTTGGGGAGGAGCTGTTCCAGTTTTGGGAATCTTGTTTGAAGTAGACCAGGAAAATTCATGATACTGTTGATGGATGAAATCTTGCACCACCTAGGGGCCCTAAACTACTGTAATCCTTAGGACTTTAAGGACTTTAAGTGGTGCAAGATTTCCTCCATCAACAGTATGTACCCCGCGCATTAACGCAGCGCGGGTCCAGACTCAGAGCTCCACAGATGTCAAGTGTGCTTGTAAATGTGTGCTGGGTGGTGGTTAACCTAGTATGTCTAGTGCTATTGCTATAGAGTACTTGTGCGCTGTGATGAGGTAGTAGACGTGGAGGCTTCCGCATTAAAGCTTCTCAAAGCTTCCGCCTCTGTGACCCTCCATATACTCCCCCAATCATGTAGCGGTACTATATTGCGGGTTTAGCAGCCCTAAACCTTTTTCTCACCTGTAACTCCGGACCTTTGAGCATCCTCTGTGATACTTCCTTGCATGCAATCACTAGTCTATCCCTATGTAATCCCTTTAATCCCCATGAGGTTTACCGTTTTGAATTCTGAGGTCCTCCACATTGCTGACTGCACCGCTGCAGCCGCGCGCGGTGCTGGGCCGGTAGGCACAGATTTGGAGAAGGAGAGCCCTGATCACCTATTACGACTATATTATATACATCTATCTATCTATCTAGCTTTACAGTTCTTATTGTTGTTATGATTTCGATTATAGGGTTTAAAGAGAATAAAGTGGACGGACACTGGATTTGTGTGGGATTCATAAGGAGTCACAGTCCCAGCCCTAACCCTCAAGCCGATACTTGAGCTCCCATACCCTCTGCAACAGCAACCTGGAGGTAGTCAACCTGAAAACCCCAAGGCCTGAGTGTGAACCCTAAACCCTAAAACCTACCCCTAGGCCCTAAGCCACCTCTGGCCCGGCGGTTTGTCCAGAATTTCCCTGGAGGTCTTCTTGGAACGGAGCCTACGATGCGGGATGGCTCCTGGTTGAAGGCGGCGAAGGGCGTAGGGGCAAGGCTTTAGGACTTGGGGTTAGCTAGGCATTTCATGTTGAGGTCTTTCATTGTAGTCTACTTCTTGTGCATCATGCGACTGCTGTGCAGCCTGGCCCAAAACGGATTATACTCAGCTATGCAAAGGGTTCTCTGGAGTCAAATAATTCTGCCACCATATTTGTTTCAATCCATACGGTAATCAAGGGCGTCACAGACCTTGAGCCGAGATTCGGGATCCCAGTCATTGGGGCAACGCTGCGAGCGTCTTCGTGGTACTTGCCATATGCAGGGCAGTTTCATTTGGCGCGACGTGCCCTGAAGTAGATTCTTCGTGTTCAAGTTTCTCTCCTTGTTCTCAAAACCGAATGACCGTTGTTACTGCTGCTAAGCTTCGAGAGGGGAATATTTTTCTTGAGGGGGGCATAGTAGTCTGCATTTTGTTCTCATTGTTCTCCATTCCCCTATAGTTATACCCGTATATAACCCTTCACAAACAGCCATATATCCCTATACAATCCCCATATAGCCCCTACTGTTGGGTGCCTCCACGCCTTCGATAGGAGAGGCTTGCGCTCCACGGCGTCGAGGTTGTGGTGCCGCCCGCAGAGGAGGATCGGCAGCCAGGCAGTGTTTTACCAGCTTGTTAAGGGCAACCTTTGTGTTTAGGGTTTGCGCTTCAGGGTTTAGGGTTCAGGGTTTAAGGTTTAGGGAGTAGGGTTTAAGGTTAAGGGTTTAAGGTGTAGGGTTCAGGGAGTATTGGGGATTGCTAGGTTACCCCACTTGCATACCGGCCCCCACCCGAACAACAACCTTCTAATTGCCTTTATATGAGCTCTTCCGGGCTTAGGGTTCATGGCTCTAGGGGTTCTATAGGTCTAGTGGAAGCTGGTTTTTACAGGGGTTTATCAAGATAACATGTTTGTATATGAGGAGTTGTGGAATTTGTGGCTCTTCTCTGCCTAACTATGGGTACGCTTCTATATTAGGCGCCGTATTATAATCGGGGCCCAAGCAGGGACAATAAGTTTGACAGCCAAACCATATGTGGTAGGATTTTAAGTTGGTTTTTGGAGAGCGTACATGGGGTTCCCCAAGAATGTTGGTGCGAGTGTTTGTGGGTTGTCCAATTTGGGGAGACCGTAAATCAACGTCCTGCTAAGCTGCGTTCAGCGGTTTAGGGTTTAGGGTTTGAACCGCCTGCGCCCCTCTCAGGGGCATTCGCCCTACAACTGCCAGTGGACACTTATTTAGGATACTGCCCCCACTCAGCAAGGGTTGGAGAATAATTGTGATATAAAAGCCCGAAAGTGTACCCTGAAGTATGCATTGGTAGTGGGTTGAGGCCGTGCCCCGGGCCCTAATCCCCCCAAATGCCCAGGCAGCGTTGTTATAAGATCATTTGCGATGAGCTCAGCTTCGATATCTTCACTGAGGAGTCCCGCAGATCTTTGGCTGCTTCAGCTTCCGGTTGTTGTTTGTTAGATTTAGGGTTTCGGGTTTAGGGTTTAGGCGTAGGGTTTAGGGGGGAATATGGTGCATACTAACCACTTTGCACGGCTCTAAGTACCATATACGTTGAGACTTACGGGATTTTGGTAGAATATTGCCACGCAGGATGTTTCTTGCCAGCAGTAGGGTTTGGAGCATATGGACCTAACAAATTAGAATAGTGGAGAGTCAACAGGAAAAATGGACGCAGGAAAGGAAACTGGGGTTCTGTAGGTGATTCACAGGGATTATGCTGTGCAAAGCCTGAATAATTACCAACATCATGATCGTATGGTTATGAAATAGGGTCCTTCACATGAAGCTCAAATTCTGCTGATAATAGCCAAGCTTCTGCATTTTAGATATGGGCATGGGGTTTGAGGTATGGGGCTTCAGGTCGAGGATCTAGGATTGGGGTGGGGGAAGAGGACTTCAACCTTCTGTCTATTCCGCAAATCTACTACCTTGCACCAATCTCCTGTTGCGGTGGGCAGAGAGGGACCCAGGTTTTTACAGAAGCCAATGTGAATGCTGGATGGAAATGAAGTTGGACAGCACTGCTTGCTTAGAGGCATAGGCAAAGCTTGCTGTCAAGTTCTAAGCCCCAACCTGAAAGAAGCTGCGAAATCCAAAGCCTGAATCCTCAAGCCCCTGGTCAAAGTGTTATTTGTGTAGTCTGTATGCAGTCCTTTCAAAGTGCGTATTCTCGTCGACACCATTACTTCCTTAATTTCGCAAACAGTCTCGGGAGGGTGATCCTAAACCCTTAACCCTAAACCTCGCTGAACAGGATTCATGTCGGAGATGGCGAGGAAGCTCCACGGCGAGTGGGGTGGCACGGGAGGTGTCATTCTGGGCTGCACGGAGATCGAGCTTTTACTGCGGCCAGGGGACGTGCCAAGCTGAGACGCGGAATTTAGGGTTTAGGGCTTAGCCGTGTTTTTTTTGTGCAAGGCACCGAAGCAGAATGGAAACATCTAGAAGGATACTGCAATGCTTATGTAGAGTTTCTGTGGGGTTTCCAATTACAACCGGTCCTTTTTGTGGGTCCTCATAGCAGGGTCTGTAATATTTTGAGGTAGTACAGCGGGCCCCCAAGTTTGCGGGAAACTACAACATGAGTACCGGCCAGTGTGAAAGTTGCTTTCCTCTTGAAAGTAGCACTCCAGGGTTTCAGGCTTTTGGGACTGAATATTCGGTTTTACGGATTCATTATTAGGGGAAATGTTTACTTACTTGATTTGAAACCTCCACTGCATTGCTGAGGACCCCGGTCATGCCCAATAACTTCCTCCAAAACCAAAGCCAAGCGCCATTGCTTGTCTGATGCAAGCCAATCCCGAAAATTCATGTTAGATTCAGGGCCTCAGGGGGTATACATTTCGGGGCTGCCGCATCAACTAGTTTTTGCAGACGTGTGTGTGTGTGTGTGTGTGTGCAACCTGTTGTA